AAATGTATACAATTTTGTTTACCTATACTGCATTTACCCTTACACGCCACTATGTGGTTACGTAAGCTATTATTTAGAACCTTGCCTATGCGAACTTGAAGTCACATCTACTGGCACTGGTGTCATTAACCTTCATTTCACACTGCTGAAAGTAATTTACATGTTTATACAAGAAGCCTGCTAACCAGTTAAGTCATATATTGTACTTGTGTGGTAGCTAGTTAAGGTGAATACTGAACTCATGAAATAGCTTCAGTTACTTTGTTGCATATATATTTACCAAACCTGTGGAATGTAGAGTTGCTAATACATAAGCCTTTAATCCTAGGTCTATACCAGTATAGGTAATGTTAAAAAAAGGAAAGTATAACCTCCTATAAAGTTCAAGACATACTGTACAACTCATAGCTCTGAATTAGGACATACATCTCAACTAGCACTGTTTTGAACAGGAAATCACTTCTATATTTAATCTTTCAAAATCTCACATACTGGTAGATTTCTCTATTTCATGCATTACAATATAAAATCTGTGTTTGTGGCAGTTCACAGGCCTCCCAGCATATGATTTCATCCTACAAATATTGTGTCATCGGTGCTAACATGAATGAGTTGGAGAAACATTCCTTAAATAGTTTGTACTCCAAGTAAAAGCAAGCAAGCACTCACATGCACGCAACATACAGATTACATAACAGTGACTCAAGATGAAGTACACAAATTATGTAAGAAGCTAGGAAGAAACAGAGCAGGTGGCCGAGATGAAGTCTCACCTGGGGTTTTTAGGGAATGCACACTTGAGCTGAGCATTCCACTTAAATTGCTTTTTCTGGCATCTTTACCTAAAGGAATCCTAGCAAATATATGTAATAAACAAAAAATTAACACAGACAGTATGGCTGTTGGTCAGGGAGATCCTGTATAACCAGTCTACTTAATTTTTATAATTGAGTGCCACAGAGTTAACAGGAAAGACATGATTTGGTTAACTGCATTTATCTGGACCTAATTAAAAATCGGCCTCTGACAAAGACCCACACAAGAAGTTTTTCTGGAAGCTGGAGCATGCTGGAAGAGATACAGGAAGACTGGTGACACAGATGAAAGACAGACAGAAAAATGAGGGCAGTATTTGAAGGCAATGTATGACAAATAATGATTCTAGTGGAGTACCACAAGATTTAGTTCTAGCACCAGTAATGTTTGTCTACATAAATGATTTACCAGAGGGAATACAGTCACTTCTAGTTGACCTTGACAAAAAACTGTATGAAGCAACACTTAGCAGATGAAATTCAACATGAATAAATATTACATAATAGAATGTTTCTGTTATTGGAGAAAACAGGCCACATACAATGTATTATGTAAAAAGACATTAAAGGACTAACAAAAAGATATATGGGTAGATCAGGAGAGTAAACTCTCACCAGAGGACTATATAAAGGACATTGTGTGAGGAGTGTATGCTATGCTTTTAAATTTCAGAATCACTTTTAAATACGTGAACGGTGAAACACTAAAGAAATAGTTCATGACTTTTATGAGGCCAAAAGCTTCAAAGCATCATACGACAGAGTACTGGGAGGATAGGACACCACGCACATAGCTCTCATCCAGTAACTACACTTAGGTAAACACACACACACACACACACGCAAAACCTAAATAAATGTACGTATTCTGCATACAAATAAGATCTAGGCTTTTTGAATACACTCCCTCCTTATGATCAGATATCTGTTTTATTTCTCTAAGTACATGTTTAAAATTGAGCCCACTGACAGTGCTGGACCATCACAGATATAATTAGGTGGGATCTTGTAGATGTCGACAGATTCAACCACACCTTTAGCCAGCGTCATATTCAGAGGAAGTGACACGTATGTATCCTGTTATGAGCCCTAGTTTACTGGAAACTGAACATCCTAAGAAACCTGACATTGGAAGCAAAATATTAAAAATACTAAGTAAAATTTTTACTTGTACTTTCATTACCAGAAACAATTTTCTAAGAGAAACTTTTACTAGCATTTTTGCTTCAAGTTCTTAGATTATTCATAGGAAATTCTTCAAATTAGGGCTAAAATTTAATTAAATAAAAACTAGAGACTTCATTTGATGGGTCACTAATTTAATGCTGGAGAATCAAAACATTCACATCCTGCTTATAATCAATGACATAACCCCTCTGAAAACCTGGGTGTATGGGGCAGAGAAAACGGGACGAGAAAACAATATGCTACTTGGCTCGAGTCTATCTTTACAGCCTCAAAACTCATCCCCTTATGTTTCAGTATTTTTGAAATAAATATTTATAAGCAAAAACTACATTGTAAGCGTCTCCTAGCAATGGCATAAGTAGTATATCAATAAGGCAGAGTACTAAAAGCATTTTTGTTGGACAGATAAATGTTAAGAAGTACTCAAGCAGCAGCTGAAGACGAAAGACCTAATCTAAAGATCTATCCTCTTGACATCAAAAGAGGAAACCAATTCATTATTTTGCCTAAATCAGTATGATTTATTATGATGTTTTATTTTTTTTTTTTTTTTTTTGCAAAAATGTAAAAAAAGGTTTTGATATCATTCAAGACCCACATTTTAACTCCCTCCCATTAGTTTAACTACAATTATTAACAAGAATTAGTTAAAATGTAAATATGGATAATATATAAATTGTTATATTCCCTATCAATAAGCTTAATACAAAAATTTGCTATGTACGAGGAACAAAAGTGAGACATTCACAAATGGAACGACACTGCCAATACTGCCACACCAAGAAGACCATTGGTACACCATCTTATACAAGATACACACCGAGGCTTAACTATGTAACGTAACAACTGCCTATATTTTACTAGGAAGAATTTTCAGAGCTTGGAATTGGAGCCGGTCGGCCGAGCGGACAGCATGCTGGACTTGTGATCCTGTGGTCCTGGGTTCGATCCCAGGTGCCGGCGAGAAACAATGGACAGAGTTTCTTTCACTCTATGCCCATTACCTAGCAGTAAAATAGGTACCTGGGTGTTAGTCAGCTGTCACGGGCTGCTTCCTGGGGGTGGAGGCCTGGTCGAGGACCGGGCCGCGGGGACACTAAAAGCCCCGAAATCATCTCAAGATAACCTCAAGATAGTCTGTAGGTGTCAAGCCAAGTGCATGAAATAGGTATTCTGAGATAGCAAATTATTTCATCATTAGGAGTTGGAGTGCAAGTAGCCCAAATTGAAATCCAACTACTTTTTAAAAAGGGTCTACCAACCATCAGTTTTATGCATTTTAATTGAGGTGCTCATCACACTTCACTTGAGAATGGTGCAGGACGGACTGAAACGTCGTCATCCCTTCACCTTCTAGTGTGTGGTCTGGTCAACTTAGCAATATGTTATCTGAATTAGAGAATATTTAAATGTGGGGTTTAATAAAGTAACAACCAACAACACAATCGTAAATAACCTTACTACGCCACCACTAATGGCAGCACCGATCATACTATTGAGGAAAACATCTGGCAGAGTATGGCACTGGTACTGTTTCTCACACATAAAGCAAAAACAAACGAGCAGATCATGGAGCTTATCAGTAAAAGATACACAGTGGTAGCAGCAGTGACTGGAAATATTGACACCGTCCAAGTACTGTACGAGGATTTGTATGAACCTATCAGCCACTGGTTTCTGTAACATCGAAACCTGGAATTGGTCGTTGGTGGTGCACAGTTGTAGTCTGAAGCAGAAAGAATGGCACGAACGACTGGCATTGAGGACTTCAAAAACCAGTAAATGTTAAATGTGCAGATAAAGTGTTGTGTGAAACAGTTTATCAACTGTACAGTACTACACTGTACTGTACACTACAGTATTATCATCACATTATGTTGAAACTATGTTCCCAAGAACCAGTCTTTGCTACAAAATGGTACTGTATATGAAAAAATAAGATGATTTATCATTTATATGGAGACAAAATTATTGTTTATATATTATTTGAATGTCAAAATATACAGAACCACATATGGAATAATTTTCTAAAAGAAAACTAAACAAGCCTTGAGATAAAAAGCCAGAGAGGGGGCATTCGTCGGGAAACTCAGATTTCACATTTCAGTTCAGGGGTCAGATTCATGAAGCAGTTACGCAAGTACTTATGAACATGTACATCTTTCCTCAATCTTTGACGGCTTTAACTACATTTATTAAACTACTTTACAAGCATGAAAATTTCCCAATCAACTGTTGTAACTGTTATAAACAGCCTCCTGGTGCTTCGGAGCTCATTAACTGTTTAATAATTGTAAACAAAGCCGTCAACGATTGAGGAAAGATGTTCACATTCGTAAGTACTTGCGTAACTACTTTGTGAATCTGGCGCCAGGTCTGCAACACAATTTAAATTTCAGAGATGTCACTGTACATTCATTTTGAATTTTGTGACTTTTTTAAAATCTTTTGAGATACTGCGTTTTAAAATTTATACCATATACTGAAATGATTTTGGCACGTGTATGTGTGCAACAATTTTGTTTAAGAAAGTTTTTTCTTATAAATAAATGACCTATATTTGGTAATTCTTTAATTATTTGTTTTATTAATACCTCAAAAAGTATAAAAATTGCAAATAAATTAAATAAATATATAAACATGATACCCTGCATGCAAAACAGTTTACCTTTCAACATCTTTAAGATACCCGACCTGTATTGTATTTCCAAGCTGGCCTTGCAACACAAGTACTGGCCACCATCAGTATTATCAACATCTTCACATTTTAAAAGATTAAACAGTGCCAAGATTGATACCTTAGTCAACTGCATGCAACCTGTTAAGGCAACAGTAGTACAGACTACCACATTTGGGGTGACGAGATCCTGCCTTGACGAGTCGTCAGCCCTGCCGACACTGGCTACCTGTAACCAACTGTCACATATCCATCTATTTCGTGAATAACACCTTATTTCACGCCTCATTTAGTTGAAAGATTAATAAGTTACAATAGAATAATTAAATTAATCTGTATTTCCCAGAACATTTTTAAATGTAAAATAATAAAGAATATTTAATGAATCTGTATTAATAAACAGTCCTTTCAAATAAAATATTTACTTGATCTCTATTCCATTATTCTTTCATTAAATGAAAATTGATATAGTATTGAATCTTCTTTCAAATACAAAATGTAGTTAAACAAGATTTATTCGATCCCTTTCCAATATACTGAACATTAAACTCAAAATACAACCACTTGGTAAATACGGAACTCAAATTTGCCTATTTTGAAAATCTATCTGGGATCAAGTGTCAATTCTCCACACTGACGTAACAAGTAGAGACTTGAGAATGCCTGAAACAGGATGGCAGAATGACCACCTTACCAAGCTTGTGTCGGCTACACACCAAAACTCTTTGTAAATACATTAAATATGGTTTGTGAACCAATTCCCTTAAGTACAGATTGTATGAGTGTTAAAATTATATTAAGTATCTACTGGCATCAACAAAGACTCAATTCAAAGCTGTTGTTGTTTTGAAGACACAATCATGTTATCTTAACTTTTGAAACTGTGTTCATAATGCTATTATAACAAATTAAGTGTATACACAGTGCTGAACTGTAATAATAAATATTTTTAACATTAAGCAAGAGAGCTATACAAATAAGTTGTCATGAAGTTACCAGTTAGAAATGCTTCCATGACTAATGTCAATTCATTTTTATGCTAAGACCTACTAATTTAATTGAGAAAAATCACAACTGACAAGCTTTCCTACTTTTTGTTTTATGAGAATCTAAAGCTTAATAAACCATGGAGATGTGTGCTTTGATAATTCCAGTTTTTATATATATATTCTTTAATTGGCGACGAAACAATTGTTGTACTGTACTAGGAATGAAATCATTCCTAGTACAACAATTGTACTGCTCTCATTTCTCCCACTGGTAATCCAATCATAATCCGTCTACTACACTCCTTTCTTACTCCCACAGATCTACTACAGTATCTTCATCACTACCACCAGTCACTCCCCAGACCTACTATCTTCATCACTACCACCACAGTCACTCCCCAGACCTACTATCTTCATCACTACCACCACAGTTACTCCCAGTGGTCTACTATCTTCATCACTACCACCACAGTCACTCCCCAGTGGTCTACTATCTTCATCACTACCACCACAGTCACTCCCCAGTGGTCTACTATCTTCATCACTACCACCACAGTCACTCCCCAGTGGCTACTATCTTCATCACTACCACCACAGTCACTCCCCAGTGGCTACTATCTTCATCAAACTATACAATGTGAGAGCTGTAGTTTATCAATCAATAATGATAATTGCTGTTCAGAACCAGACAGCTGTTTTGTATTTTAGGGACATAAGCTTTCTTGTTGGCATGAAACACTCCTTAAGACTTGCTTCTTGTTGGCATGAAACACTACTTAAGGCTTGCTTCTTGTTGGCATGAAACACTCCTTAAGACTTGCTTCTTGTTGGCATGAAACACTCCTTAAGACTTGCTTCTTGTTGGCATGAAACACTACTTAAGGCTTGCTTCTGTCATTTAACAAGTTTAGCCCATGGGTAAAAATTTATATCCTGCAACATCAACAGCATTATCATTGTAGCAAAGTTAATAACTATCATAAAACTTTTTCTAACAAAACAAATTTAATATTGAAGTATCTTGAAAAGTTACAGTACATAGTTATTCTGAGACCATCAGCAATATAATAAGAGACAGCTGCAAGCGCTGAAATCCAACCTATATGAACACCTGCTAGCTTGGAATAAAGTGGAATACCTTGGATATTGGTATAAAAATTGCATTATCAAGAGATTGTGAAGCCATTATCGACTCTAATGCATAGCATAATATACACTTACCATATTTCAACAAAAATATCAAATAAATCTCTCCTCTGGTTGCAAGTTTCCTTCATAACTTCTCAAGCGGCAATCTTCAATTCTTCAAATCTACATGTACCTGAATTTCTTGACGCAGTCGTTACCGAGATCAACAATAACAACATGTCCATCTCGTGTTGTGGCTAAACCTGAAGGCCGCTTCAGTTTGGCTTCGCGGGAGTCTATGGTGAAGATGAGGGTTCCAAGAGTGTAATCAAACACCTGAATCCGAGAGTTGTTCCGTTCTTGTCTGGTGGCGAGCAAAAAGCCTTTAGGGTCCAGAAACAGCCCACCATATGTTCCTTTAGGTCCTTTCCCTGAAACACAGTGGAAGGACAAATTCAATCATGAGGACCAGGAAACAAAATTAATTTTATTAATAAATTAATTAATTATCAAAAGTAGGCAAGTATCAAAAAAGGCATCAAGCTAGGGAGGTAAGGAAGGAGCGTCACAAGGAGACACATTGCTAACACGAACTGAAAGGGAGGCTTGTAAGCGAGATATCTTAAGAGAGGAAAAGGAAGGTGGTGAAAGGGAACAGAGCCAACCGGACGGGTAACTGCCAAAGCCTGGCAAAAGCGAGAATGAGGATGTTGCATAGATCTCGAGAAGTAGTAAAGAAAGTAATGATCCTAAAGATTCTGTAACGACAAAACGTCTGTCAACATACAATTTCTGGATAGGGGATAAACGAAAGGCAACAGAGTTGAGGCACAATTCAGCATAGTGCAGAGCAACAAGATGATGAAGGGTCGAAAGAGAGGCAGAGGAGTAAGCAGGACAGTCATAATCCAGTTTAGACAGCACGAGAGAGAGAGGAATGCAAATAGAGAAAACAGGGTCCGTCAATCAGCACCCCAAGAAGTATGGGACAAGACTCAAAGCAATGTAAGAGCATTAGAGCATTCAACTCAAAGGTAAGAGACACAGGGTGACCAAGACAAATGGGTCAAAAATCAACCCCCCCAAAGTTTAGCAGAATTTTTATAGAAAAGGGGACTACCACTGTGCCAATGAGTGGACAAAAACACACCTGCTTCTGAGAAAGTCAGCACAATTTTCTAAGAGGTTATTTAACTCTGGGCAATTTAATCTTTGCTGCCAACAGTCTCTTATCACCTTGTGGGATGGTTTCACTATTAATGTGACTATTTACATAATGGGACAAATGTATAATTCTGGCCCAGCTTCAAATTTTCTCCTTCTAAAGCTTTACTAATACTTAATGAAATGTTTGTTGACAGGCCAACACAAGTTATACACAGTAAGTAATTATAAAGGAAGACATCAAGCCTGAAAGACTATTTAGCACTGAAGGTATGCAGTGACTTTTAGCTTCTCCGTAATATTTCTACAAAGTGTTCCATGTTAAATATCTTTCATTGCATTAAGATACCTCATTTCCACCTTCCTTTGAGTTCTCAGTGACCCCAAAATACATCGGAAATATTTACCTTTATCACCTAATACTAACATTACCTTACTTGCCTGGGCAATCCTATAACTATTATGTTCTTGCTTCCCAGGCACATATTAACCGATCCTTTCAGTATTTTTATATACATTGTTTATGTGAAATGTAATTATTAATGTAAAAATGAGCTTTCAAATATGCTTTCTCATTATCATCATCTCGATTTATTCACAATTCGTTATCTATTTGTTACTCGAGGATTATTGACAAGACGTCAAACTAGGTTCACAAGCTTCAGGATGGTAATAATCATTTTATTCAATATTCTATTCGGTTACAACTAACCTTTGGTTTCAAAAATAGTGCGCGAGTACTGCCCTTCAGGAGAGAAAACTTGTATCCTGGAATCGGCGACTATTACTTCATTATCAGGACCGGTGCACAATGCAGCAATGGATCCCAACTGACCTGGCTTGCTCCCTTTTACTCCCCATTTTCTGACCAATTTCCCACCAGGAAGAAAAACAAAAACCGAATTCACTGCATTGTCTGCTACAAGAATTTCACCATCACTGTTAACTGCAAGAGTTGTTGGTTCAATCAACTGCTCGTGAGTGAACTGAGAAAGGAGTTGACCAGAGGACGTCACTTCTGTTATTGTCTTCTTCCGCCAGTTAACAAACACGAGGGAACTGCTGGGAGTTCGAGTAATGCCCGTAACACTTCTACCTTCTAATGCATCTCCCACTATATGTTGCACTTCTTTCAACTGAGGGCTTAGTACCTTAATGCGAGAATTTCCAGTATCTGCCACATACATAAACTCATTGTCATCTATACAAATTCCCACAGGTTGTAAGAACTGGTCCTTTCCTGAGCCACGTGTACCATACACAATATCTGGATTATGTTCATCGATCACTTCAACGTGCAATGGGCTTTCCTTGATGGATCTTCCAAATATTTTCACTGCAATACTGTGTGTCCCACCTTGCTCAGGAGTAAAGAACACAGAGTAAGATCCATCCTCATTGTCCTCAATTTGATTCTCGACCACATCACCGCCCTCCGATTTGACTTCTGCTTCAACGGGGTCCCCACCTGTGCACTGACTCTCCCCGTCGTAATCAACAGTATGAACTACAACCTCGCTTCTTAAGTGAGTCATGGCTTTCTTGGCTTTCATAAAAGAGAGACTTGGGAAGGTTTTGCTCGTAACCACTCGCCCATAATCCTCAATAGTTGCCTGAATCTGATCAAATGCTTCATTGTGCTGACTTTCAAATTTCAAGAAAGCATTTTCTCTTGGCTCAACTAGAGTGGATAAAGAATCAATTTTTGTATTTAGGTGCGCAATCTTCTTGGTAATGTTCCGAACTTCTACTTGGTACTGAAGACCTTCACACTCCTGTTGAACTTTCCGTCTCTCTCCCTCAATGATGTCCAATTGGTCCTGCAGAAGGAATAATTTGTTAAAATACACACTGCATATTCTATACCAATATTTCACCTGGAAAACAAATAATAATATAGGAAAAAGAGGCTTAAAGGTACTGTAACTACGCGATTATCCGGGATTCGAACATCCGGAAAACGCCCTTATACGGCCAAAATCGTGACCGGATAAATTTCTCAATATCTGGCCAAAATGGCCATGGGAGCCGGTTAACTTGCTGCCGATGTTACACTATCCGGACAGTCAGCCGGATAATCATTGAATTATCCGGATATAAAAGCCATCTTCTTGAGGTTATCTTGAGATGATTTCGGGGCGTTTTATTGTCCCCGCGGCCCGGTCCTCGACCAGGCCTCCACCCCCCAGGATGTCACCCCTGTGACAGCTGACTAACACCCAGGTACCTATTTTACTGCTAGGTAACAGGGGCATAGGGTGAAAGAAACTCTGCCCATTGTTTCTCGCTGGCACCTGGGATCGAACCCAGGACCACAGGATCACAAGCCCAGCGTGCTGTCCGCTCGGCCGACAATCGCAATGACGCGGGCCGTACCGTATTAATCCCGTCTGGCTGTGGCTGGCTGGCTCGAGGCGATGGTAGAGGAGAGGGGTGGGGTGGATGGGTGGGTGGGTGGTGTCGGGAAGGTGGGAGGGGAGCGTCAGAAGGGACCACCTGGGTACAGGAATTACCATTAATTTTAGAACAATTCATCATAGCCATAAAGAAATGAAATACTAGTAATTATGTAATAACAAATATATGTTTCCAAAAAGCAATGTGCACAGGCTGAAGTTTCCTTCAAAAACATTGAGAGTTTTTTCCTCCTGGCGGCCTACATAACGTGCTATAGCTGCCCCAAGTGGACCCGTCCAACACTGGTCATCCCATGTGCTCCCGTCCCTCGTGTTATACCACAGTGCTGCGCCATTAGTGAAATATTTTTTTAAATAACTTTTTTATTTTCATAGTAACTTTGAACATTTTTGGCCAAGACTATGTCTGGTAGCAGCATCAATCGTTCTGGAGGTGTTAAGAGGAAGAAGGTTGTCCTAACAGTTAAAGACTAGTTACTGTTATACACCTCAACAAGCGAGGCGCAAGCAAGCGCCTTCAACAAGCGAGGCGCAAGCAAGCGCCTTCAACAAGCGAGGCGCAAGCAAGCGCCTTCAACAAGCGAGGCGCAAGCAAGCGCCTTCAACAAGCGAGGCGCAAGCAAGCGCCTTCAACAAGCGAGGCGCAAGCAAGCGCCTTCAACAAGCGAGGCGCAAGCAAGCGCCTTCAACAAGCGAGGCGCAAGCAAGCGCCTTCAACAAGCGAGGCGCAAGCAAGCGCCTTCAACAAGCGAGGCGCAAGCAAGCGCCTTCAACAAGCGAGGCGCAAGCAAGCGCCTTCAACAAGCGAGGCGCAAGCAAGCGCCTTCAACAAGTGAGGCGCAAGCAAGCGCCTTCAACAAGTGAGGCATCACAGGCAAGCAAGCGCCTTCAACAAGTGAGGCCTCACAGGCAACCCAAATGCCTTCAATCAGTGAGGCTTCAGCAGCTGGCAGTCAAAACTAACTTTGTTTAATGAACTGTACCTAGACCTCCTGGTCTCGTCCAGACTCCTCCTGGAGTCGAGGATATCCAGTCCCCAATCCCTGTAGTTTCCAAGTGACTGACACTATGAAACATTCTCCCCCCCCTTCTTAATACACCCATTAAAAACAAACACATTTCCACTAGCCTGTTCTTGTTATCTCTCAAGAATCAAATTTAATGTGGTATAGGCCTAGGCAACCCATCTAACCCACTTAGGCTAATGTTCACTTGATTTTGGAAGCATCACAAAAGTATTGCAGTGCCAATAATGTCACTAAAGCACCGAAATTCTAACTTGGTGGGCAATAGCATAAAAACTGATGTGAATTAAGTACGAGGACAGGTTGCTTCCACAAGTTTTAGACTTTTTGCACATACTTTTGTATCTATCACACACACACACACACACACACAGCCAACATTCTTTAACACATTTTATAGAACCAGCCAATCACAGTTCATAAAAAAATCACATACAAGCACATTTACATCTTCTAAATTGAAACACCACTTATATATACAGTACATATTTTAACAAACACACTCTCACACACATTTTCACACATTCTTACATAAACACGATATCGCTCACAATTTTATGCATCAACTTTTACATACTGATCAAACACCTGATCAACCAGGCTGTGATTCATATGACAGGCTGTGAGCAGCCGCGTCCAACAGCCTGGTTGACCAAATGACCAGCCATGAGGCCTGGTTGGAGACCGGGCTGCGGGGTTGTTGTTTCCTGGAATCTACACACAAGGTAGGTAGGAAGACACTCAATTTTTTTTTATTAACATATTAGTTAACGTTTTTGCAAATACGTATTTATAAAGCACAGTTAAATAACTCCCCAAGTTCGGTACTCTGGATTCTGTTCTATTCAAACGACAGTAAAATTCAGTCGTGATTTTTGATACGAGTTACCCCGATATTCAGGTTGGTGAGGAATGCAATGACAAGTGATCAGTGACCTATAATCAGCAATCCCCTATAAAGGATAACTAACTTACACCTTTTGTACCTATTTTCATAAAATTATATTACTCTGACTTACCTGCAAAACCTTCTTTTTCTCATCACGCATTTTTTTAACATTGCTAATGACTGCTTCCCGACGTTGCTCAATAGTGTCAATAATGGCTTGGAATGCTCTGTTGACATCTTCAAAGGTCGAGTCAACTGCATGATCCAGCTGGTGCATTTCTGACGTCACTGCATCGCTCGCCTCATTTAACTGAAAATTTTGAGCAAATTCAAAGGCAAAGAATACATGTCGAAAAACGTAATTAATTACACTGTTCCTTTGGTTACACAGTACACTATCTTCTTGATTACAAAACATAAGAAGCCCCACAACTGTTTAATAATATTTTGATAATACTGCAAAAGGTAAAATACAGTACGTCACATTCTTTACAGAATTGACAAGTCCATTAAAACAGAAATGTACTCTATTAGTAAAAATTAAAGCCTGTAATGCTGACATTTTCTATTAATTTGCCTCAGTTACACGAGCTGCTTCGGTTTGTAGGTTTCTGGTTACGTAAAAGTTACATTTTATGGAGTGGCAAAAAAATAAAATAAAATAAAATACAAGAAGATGCTGCACTAAATGGTGGTGTGCTGACATGAAGCCAGCGGTGGTCATTCGTAGATTTCTTTTATGAAACAACCGAGTGAAATGCAAAGAAAATATATTGTCACATAGAGCTACATTCCATGTTTACATGTGATAAAGTGATGTGTACGAACAATGGCCAGTGTTTACATGTGATAATCTAATGTGTACGAACAATGGCCAGTGTTTAAATGTGATAATGTAATGTATGGAATTTTTTATTTTTTTTTTGCAACATTGAACAGGAACTAAGCACAGATGCATCAATAAGCTTGCATGTGTGTCAACATACAGAGTGAAGTTGCTGGGCTTCATATATATATATAAATGTAGGGTAAGTCAGGTCAAGCTTTTAATGGTTACCACTTGTCCCTTAGGTTAACATTAACCATTAGGTTAATGGTTACCTGGTCCAGCTGTCAGTACTCAAACTACAGTACAGACTGTACTGTATATGAAGCAAACTTCTGGACACACAAGTTTACCGAATCCAAGAAACGTAAAAGGCTATTAAATTAAATAAATAAATTGGGTACTCTCACCATATATCAGTTTACAAATGTTGCAAGGTAATGAGTATGCATTCATTGCACAAACAAAAATTGATCTCACCTTTGAATAACACTCATTTGCCTTGTAGCACAGGATTTCTGACATTCTCTTAATTGCAATGGAAAGCGGAATGACTGTGTGTTGATAGCTAGCAGCACTGCCCTGATGAGAGCCATTGCTACACTGTGTACAGAACACCAGATCACACGATTCACAAAACAACAATTCCTGAAAGAATATTTAAGACTTAATACAACATGAAGTGATGCATTTATAATAATTTGGGGTACAGTAATTTTAAGTATCCATTTAAAACAATGTAATGTGAGGATACTGAAATACAAGAAGCTGTTAACTTAGACAATACGACTATAATAAACGGGACAGAAAAAATAAAACTAACGTGAAAAAATGTCAGACATCTAAAAAAAAAAAAAAAAAAAAAAAAAAAAAAAAAAAAAAAAAAAAAAATCGATTATTATTGAATTGAATAATAAATTGAATAAAATAACAAATAAATTGGACAGATTTTTTATACAAATCCTCCTGTAGTTGTCAAAATACAACGTCTGTCGAAAATATGACTCCTGAGCATTATTTCTGAGTGGAATTCAGGGTGATTGCACGTATTTGGAGTTTTAAATTACGACTTTTTATACCGAAAATATGCAAATCAGTGAAAAAGGAGAGTGGTAAGATTTTGCCCACATCCCTCTGCAGTTTTCAAAATACAATGCCCATCGGAAATATGACACTCGAGCGTTATTTCCGAGCAGAATTCAGGGCGATTGCTCATACAGTATTTAGAGTTTTAAATTATTACTTTTTGTACTGAAAATATGCATATTAGTGAAAACGGCAAATGGTGATTGGAATTGGAATGATATGGAAGTGTAGAACATACAGTAAATGATAGGCTAACAAACAAAATCTATGTATGGGAAAATAGATATACTGTAGTTATAGACAATGTAAGAAAAAACAAATTATAATGCTAAACTGCAGGAGCATATTCATGAATTACGTCCTAGATATGAATGAAAACTATCAGTACATAGTGGAAGTGAATTGTGTCTGAAGGTAAATGAAAGAATAAATCTGAATCTGATTAAAAAAAAACAACTTGCAGAGTATTATGCTACAGCATACCTGATTAGCATGGGTGGAACATTTGGGCACAACTTCTCGCCGCTGTCGGGACATGAGATCCAGCAGCTGATTCACTAAGAATGAGGGGGGTAGGGCAGCCACCCCACCCGAAGGAATGCGAATAGATTCCCGGCATATTGGACAGCGGAAAGTGCCGTCATCACGTGCGTGGGAAGCGACGATGCGAGTGAGGCAGTGAAGACATACAGTATGAGAGCAGTGGAGTAGCTTCGGTGTATGTTCACCTCCATCAAAGGAACCTGTCCATATCAGAGCTACATTGACACGTGTTGAAATGTTTCTCTGCAGTGATGAAATAGTTGTTAAGTTATGTCCTAGGATTTGATTTATTATATTCTGGGATTTGTAGGTAATCATGATTTTTTTTTTTTTTACATTTTCACATCTATGGGATTTCTAGATTTCAATTTTTATGCCTTACGTAATTATCTTTGGAACCGGTTATTAGTTTAAGAGCACATGCTTACTCTTTGCCATTCACAAAATTTGCACATCGGCAATTTACAAGTGATGGGGGTGACTCATTAACAATCATTCCACTGCCAATGCATTGCTACCATAGATTCATACAAGTATTAAAGTTACTTATAACAAGTGAAAATAGGAATATATAAATACGGCATATATAATTCCCATTATAGGAGACAGGAAGTCGGTACTTAAGCTTATATCGAGGATCCTCTAGGCCAACTACTGACCTTCCCGAGGATGCAGCCTACAACGATTACTCAACTCCCAGTTCAAGTTCAAGTTCAAGTATGTTTATTGAGATAAGCAATAAATACATCTCAAAGGGATAGAGTAGCTTAGGCTATTTCTACCCCCCTTTTCCCTTCTATCTATTTTCCCTTTTCTATCCCCCTTCAACTCCCAGGTACCTATTTACTGCTAGGTGAATAGAGACATCGGGGTGAAAGAAAGTGTGCCTAACCATTTCTGTCCCACATACACAAATTTAAAAATGTTAACAAACTTCAGATTTTGAGCCGTTGCCATACAGTATTTGGAGTCTTGATCTATAACATCTCCTTATACAGGCCTTTTATATTTCTTATTGACAAACAAGTACTGTATATGACGTGAGAATTAGTGAAGCAAGAGAGTGAAAAACGTTAACTAACAGTATCTTCATCCTAAGAGACAACTTTCCAGAACTTTTATCACTGTTCCAGAGCTTCAATGTACAGTAAACTACAGGAATTGCCAAGACAATCATGCGACTCTTTTGATTAAATTGACATGAATAAAATATGTAAGGAAATAATTATATTAATAGACTTAAATGGCAAACACATTAAACAATACATTTATTGTAATTATGGCTCAAGATCTTCTCAATTATGTCTCCGATTATCTTTTATTTGATTTAAATGGGAATAGGAAAAAAAACAGTCCATCAATTTACTGAAATGCTAAACAATGAGAGGTGTTTAAGTAACACACAAGCGACTAAGAGAATAAGAGCTAAGCATAACAAAACACTCTGGCTAGCACTCTCATTCATCTTAATGAGTCCTCTCAAGATAGTTTAATTGTCATTTGCCATTTTTGTTTCACTCTTGGCACTTCCTCTGCACAGATAATCTGCAGTGTACATGCACTAATTAGACCTACAGAAGTCGAGTCTTACCTTCCTTTACTTTTTGACCAATACTGTACTGTCAAAGATAATTCACAATCAATTTAAGATCTATCCACAAAATAATACTGTATATACAAATCTTGCATTTTTCAGGACACGAATCAATGTCTTAACGTCCCTCTCTTCACAGATTTTAAGACAATTTCTATCATACAGATATGCAGATTATATACTTTTGATGAGCACATTTGCCAAGTGCATCTTAAGGTGAGAAACATCTACCTAGCTTAACTATTTTTGAAATGCTGTATCGAAACAAACTTTACAATGCAGACTTTATTTGATCAAGTGCCGAGTTTCAGCCAGCCAAAATATACATTTGCTGATTATTTTCAACTTATTAATAATGAGATCATGTGTAATCATTACACAATCATTAATAATGAGATCAAAATAATAAATTTAAAGATAATACTGTATATTTTATTATCAGCACCTTATTTAACAAGTCTCAAATGATTATCTAAATCACTGTCACAAATTACAAGACATACACAAAGTACCAAGACTTTCTTTTATTTTATTGTTACCATATTCCAACTATGTAACAATTTTAAAATGATTATAAAAAACTGACATGAAGATTTCAAATTCTAAGACTCATCTATATCCTGCGCGTCAAGACATTCCAATGCTAAAAGGCCTTGTTTGTAACTACAGATCAAACCAAGCCTGCAAAACCAAATTCCGAGATCTTCCTTGAGGGGTTACTTACAAAGACACGTGCCACACGTGAGGAATGATTCATTGAAGTCCTCATAGTTAATAGACACTGTCTCGACCAGCGTAGAAGACATCACTTCTTCCCGACCCACGCCTCGACTGCGGGATATAAAAGAAACAGTTACCTGTGGAGTAAACTGGAAGGGCCAGTACTAAACATTCCACATGTTATTAGAATTTCATGGACAGGTTTGCTGACAGAATGTTTATTGGATAATGCAAAATGTTTAGCCAGAATCACAAGAAGAAAATTCCAGGCACCATCTCTGTGCTGCCTTGCATCTCTGTGCTACATGCACACACCTGTGTATGTACTGCCTATGCATATCAACAACTGTAAATTTGGTGAACAAATCCACAAGGGCCATGACGAGGATTTGAACCTGCGTCCGGGAGCATCCCAGACACTGCCTTAAACCTTAATTAATGGCCCTTGTGGATTTGTTCATTTGATGCATCACATTAGTGTGACCTCTGTGTGTGTAAATTTGGTGTTTAATACCTTGAAAATTTCTTAATATTCAACGATTAAAACTTAAAACTGGTTTGTTGATAATGTTGCAAACATAATAAAATTGACACTATGAAACAATCACATCAATAATAACAGAATATCTAAACCTGGTGACATGCATTACTGATAAAAAGTACTGTACATGTAATCAATAACAAAACTTACACCTCATAGAAATTTCATCCTTTTAAAAACAAGTCTGCCTCATATTACTGTACCCCAATAATTAGCTCAAGCATGACAAGCATAAAGAGCTTCCACTGTGCACAGTCCGCATTAAGACTTTACAACTTATGGTAATTTCAGCGCACTCTATCATGTGTAAATGTACATACAAAACATTCAAAATCTGATTAAAGTTAAAAAAAAAAACAAAAAAACAAAAAATAGTCTCCAAACAACAAAATTTTGATGATACAGTATTCAATAATGATGAATGTTCAGATACAGGTCAATCTACATTACAGCATTATCTGCTACAATGAGATAAGGAGTAAGTACTATAGCATAAAAGGAAAGTGCATGCAATGGGTGGAGGAGAAATTTAAATCATTATTATTATTATTATTATTAAGCAAATTTTTAATGTAAATATGGCAGTGGGTTTAAGTTTCAGAATATCGAGAGTTAAAGATATGTACGAAAAATTAACTTTATACAAAAAATTTGTGGGTGATAACAAATAACCAGATTCTAAAGACAAGGTTTGTAGTTTCAAAAATGATTAGTACATGGCCAACATATTACTGAAAAATTAGCCAAAATATTACTGGGTAAAAGAGTAGAATGATAGTGTGCCAAGGGTTATCAATGTTCGGACATTCCCCCCATGATATCTGCAGCTGCATATGCAGCAAAGTACAATCCACACTTAGGTAATTACAATCCCATGAGCCAACTAAGGATGACATCTTAAGTCATTACTGGAATATGTTCAGATAATAGTATTTTAACCTTTTTTTTTCCTAAATACCTGTACTATCTTACCGCTCTTGGTGATGGGGAAACGGATCAAAGGTTCATATTGTGTGGAGGTGAACATTTTTCTGGCTTGTCTGATGAGGCAGCTTTGGTAACTGAATATGTTTGTTCAATGTCCTGTACAATATACAGGAAGACGGGGGGAAAAAATTACCAAGGCCAGAGAAAAGTACGAGTACAGTATCAACAAATAAAAGTCCAGAAAAGGCAACTAACACAGTGCAGGAAGGTGTTCATTTTAAAGCTAAAAATACTAATCAGGACAAAAAAATGATTTGGTAACTATATAGTACTGTCGTCCCAAGTTTAAAGGCCATTCTGATAAAACTTCTATCATCAATTCATTCATATATTAAGGGGGGTGTGAAATCATGTTCTTCTTCACTGAGGGTGATTGGGATACTTGTCAAAAGTAATACAAGATAATTTCATTATTGTTATTCTCTGGTCCAGCCTGTTAGTTTTTGTCCTCAACAACATTAAATGCTGATGAAAGGCAACCAGTCAGTAGTGTCTATGTTTGTTTTAATCAAGCAAATTGCTTTTGTTACACTTACATCATGGCAAAAGGCAGATTGGATAATGCATGCAGTCTCGTGCAGCTTCATAACTTTTATGCATTTCTGTTAAAACAAGCTCTGCTCAGGAATGAAAATTATTTTTAAATCCAGCAAAATTTATTTCAAATTATATCTTGTCCTTGTAGCATTCATAATTGACCTCCCTCTCTTAAACACAACTTTCTTCAACTGCATTCTGAAATCATATCATGGTAAAAACAAACCATCAAAATAAACACAAGAGATCACGAATTGGATGATCCCATGTGTTAAGATCACTCAGGTATAAGGACAAAGACCAAGGTTACAAGTCATGCTGATGCCTCACTACACTGACGATTGCAGGATGTTATCTATTGTGACTTATCTCTCGTGACTTTACGGTGTCACCCCCTTGTGTATAGTGCAGTGGACTAATTCTTACCAGATATGTCTCAATCACATTGAACAATGTCATAATGAAATGTATGGTAAATCAATTAACAATATAGGTTGTCCTTACTTGTGCATGATGCAGTGTGTCCTGTTTGGATTCACTAAAATAAAAGGAATGGCATTTGTACAGTTGGATCTTTACACTGTAATTACATTTCTCTTCACCATGGCATAAGACCCCCCCCCACCCATCTTGCACCTCACCAAGCAAAACACCTTGCAACATTAGAACCCCTTTTGTACCTCTTAACCAACTTGAGACTTCCCCTCTTGCAAGATTTGTTGCAAGCCTTGTAAAAGTTGACAGGATGAATATACCATGTCCAGTCACGTGTCTACAGTGCATCAAACACATATCAACAGATAGTCACGTAAGTAGGTAATGACTCTTGACTAAATCTTCAGCGACTGAAAAACAAGCTCATCTACCGGACATATAGATACTGTACTACTATGAAGAAGAATGGTGTGAGCAGGTATGGCACACACCGTCAGTAGTGTCAAAGTATCGCATGACAAAGAGTGCTGGGAAGATGGGACACCACGAGCAAAGCTCTCATCCTGTAAGTACACTTAGGTGTACTTACACCTAAGAAGTGTACTTACACTTCACACAAGTGTGAAGCCCATGGGGAGAGTCCTGATTAATCTAATTACATTCCGAAGTAACAAATTATCTTCCAGATTCAGGCAATGCATCCACCACTTCATGTTTTCTTATCTAGCAGGTTGTAATAATACATAATACTGTAATAATAATAACTTTCAGATTCATGTCTATATGCCGCATGAGATGACTTGGTCTTAACATTGTGTAGCCATCAGTACAGTAATTGAAATGGTTAAGTAGGAGGTTGTCAGTATGTAGGCATCCGCCAAGTGGCTCCAGTTCTCTCCTTTTGGATTCCCCCAACAAGATCAGCAGCAAAACATCCACATATTGCAGCACCAGGGCCTAAACACTGTGGTGCAGCACCAGGACCTAAACATTGTGGTGCAGCACCAGGACCTAAACATCGTGGTGCAGCACCAGGGCCTAAACATTGTGGTGCAGCACCAGGGCCTAAACATCGTGGTGCAGCACCAGTGCCTAAACATTGTGGTGCAGCACCAGGGCCTAAACATCGTGGTGCAGCACCAGGACCTAAACATTGTGGTGCAGCACCAGGACCTAAACATTGTGGTGCAGCACCAGGACCTAAACATTGTGGTGCAGCACCAGGACCTAAACATCGTGGTGCAGCACCAGGACCTAAACATTGTGGTGCAGCACCAGGACCTAAACATCGTGGTGCAGCACCAGGACCTAAACATTGTGGTGCAGCACCAGGACCTAAACATTGTGGTGCAGCACCAGTGCCTAAACATCGTGGTGCAGCACCAGTGCCTAAACATCGTG